AAAGCCTTGTCCTCCCAGAGTTGTATCAATTTCTTGGCGAAGATTCTGAAAGAGCACAAAGGTTTCCCCGCCATCCACAGAAGCCGACAAAGTTCCATCGCCGTCAGAAGTATCAAGCAAGTCGAGAGTCAGGGATACGTAGGAGCCCATGCCAAACTTTGGATGAACACAGTCTGGTTGAGGTGAATAATGGAACGAAACGCCGCTGCTTCCGTAGACCCACCCATTTTTCTGCTTTGACAAAGATTCCGTCGTACGATACGAAGTATTGGTGTCGGCAGACTGCAGCGCAACACCAACCCAGACTGGGCGACAGTACTGAGTTACGTGAACTGTCCACTTGTGGACACCATCGTGCAAAGGCGAGATCTTCAACGCCTTGGTGTCATGACCGAAGCAGTAGTCACCGTTGCACGAGGTACTCATGGATCCCTCCCAGATCGGCAAGGGAATGCGGTGCTCTTGAATGGAACCACCGTCGTATAGAGCAACAGCTTGGCTTTTGAAGGCTTGAAAGAGCTGCTCCTGAGAAAACAGACCAGATTCCGTAACCGACGATGCAAGCTGAGGGGACACGATGAGCTCGAGACGAATTTGCTGCGTGAGTTCCATCGCCTTGCTGCGACAATGAGGATCTTGGGCATCGGGTGAATGCCCAAGCCACAGTCGGAGCATTTCGAATCGATCAAACTCGGAGGCTCGGTGAGAATCGTCTTGAATAATCACTTGCAACACCGAAAGAGCGACGTTCTGCATGACACCGGCGGAGATGTCCTCGCTCTGGAAGATCGACTTGGCAAAATCTAGCACCTGTGTGACCAACGGGTTGCACCAGTTGACGCTGACTTCGCAAAGTGCAAACGAGAACGATGGTGAAGACTTGACCGCCCCTGCCAAGCTCTTTCGTGCCATTGTAGCAAGGCCAGGACATTCAAAGTAGCATGCAGCTTCAGAAAGGGAGACAAGAGCCTCGACGCGTTCGACGTAATATCGACGGTCATCATTTTGATCATTGGGAGTGTCATCGTCGTTGGCTTCCAAAAGCTGGCATTTGTTGGTGTGGAGATACTCCAGGAGGGCCTTCAAAGTACCGCCTGGAAAATCGATTGCTACGACGGCTTGAGTAGCCTCAACAAAGTCGCCCAGGAGCATGGAGCGGAAAACATCGTTTCTCATCGCGAGAGCACATCGATTGGCAGAGACAACGACAGTGTCATTGCCTCGAAACGACACATCATGCGCTGCTTCGTCCGTCAAGAAACGAGCAAATGCTTCTTCAACAGTGATTTCCTTCTTGGTGCTCGTACTAGTACTGGTAGTATCCATGATGCTCGTATCCGCCATGGTCGTAAAGCGTTTGTCTTCGACCCTTTTGCGGTTCTTCGAAATTATGAGGCAACGACTGTTTTCAACTTCGGTTTTCAGCGTGAGGACCTTCAAAGGCGGTTTTGATTAGGACCGCTCTGCTGGATTAAAATTGCGCCCGCAACCTCACAATCTCACAGGCCCCAATAAACCAACAAACGCCATCGCCTCCTTTCGCTTGACTGAGACTCGCTCCATGCACAAGGACCATCGCTGTTGCCTTTCATCCACCAGGAACGTGCGTCTTCTTAGCAACAATGCCTCTAGTCTGTTTCTTTTGATTATCTGGAAGACCCTGCTTGTGCATTCCTTTGCCTTTTCACCACTGCCCGTACCGTTACACCTATTAGTAGTTCCACCGCGATCATCATGCCTGCGTTTGGCCCAGCAACGTGACAGCCATGAGGAGGAAGAAGAAGAAGATTTGATTCGTTATCGAGGCCGTGTATCGTACGATGGATCCTCCTATCAAGGGTTTCAAATCCAACTGGGCAAGAAGAGTGATGCTGCTACCATTCAAGCCGCGTTGGAAGATGTACTGCAACGACGATTTGACCGAAATATCCGTGTGGTGGGTTCTGGCCGAACCGATTCCGGTGTCAGTGCGCGAGGACAAGCCTTTCATTTTGATTTGACCTCAAAGGAGCACGCCCAACTAGAAGAAAGAAAAGTGCCGTTGGATCATGTTTGGAATCGCATGCTGCCCGACCAGGACATTCGAGTCTACCATGTCGGTCCAGCACCACCTCCACGAGAAAAGACAAAGACTACCAGTACTCGCCTGTTTCCTTGGAATGCCATTCATGATTCGACTCGCAAATTGTATTCCTACCGTATTTGCGTGGGACCGGTACTGCATCCTCTGGATCGATTCCAACGTTGGCAAATCCCAAACGATGGCAAATTCGTGGATTTGGACAAACTACGAGACGCACTCGCAAAGTATGAGGGAACCCATGATTTTCGGGCATTTGCCGGTGCCGTGGAACAATCGGAACGACGTGCCCAACGCAAAATCCATTCGGTGCGAACCATTTACAAGTGTGAGTTGGTAGAAGAAAATGGTGACGAAGGATACTACCGCATCGACATTGTCTTGTCGGGAGCTCTCTACAAAATGGTCCGTAACATGGTGGGAGTTGCCGTGGATGTGAGCCGTGGCCGCATTGACATGACTACCTTGCAACGACTGATTCAGAGCCCTCATACAGAACCTCAGTTGGTCCGAAAAGACAACAAATCCAAACCAGCTCCAGCTGAAGGGTTGACGTTGGAATGGGTCTATTTTGACAATGACCATGATGAGTTTTGAATGGAATTGGGTTTTATGACACTGAACGATAATGCCCGCCATCAATCTGCTAGCACTCCATACCAATGAGCCAATTCATTGAAGGGCTGGGTCGAAAGCTCCCAATTTTTTGCAGTTTGTCAATGGTTGCCGTCGGATGCGGAGCAGGTTGATTACAATTCTCTTAAGCGACCATCTTGCCATGGATTGGAAAAGGGACAAGGGGCGAAACAGCAGGAGACGAGGAACACCGGTACAACGACTCATTTCTCGCACTGTGCACCAAGGGTACATCTATGCTAGCACTTTCGCCGGTAGATTAGACTTGTCTACTTTTGATGCTTAATGCTTTACCAGCTGGCTAGCTAGATGCTCGCCATCTACTATCCATCCAACTATCAGCATGCATGATATATATACTATGTCTTATTAGTTAGTATTACTTTTGATTCATAAAAGTCACCAGAGTATCATTGAACATGTTGACATCCGTAATGTGAACCACTTTGCGAATCCCCTCTGTATTATTATTCTTGGGTGGTGGACTCATTTGTTTGGCCATTTGCAGCACCACACCCTTGGCGTCTTGGGCCGAAAGTCCAGGATGATTGCGTCGTTGTTGGCACCGTCGAATGCAGTCGTCCACCGTCACCAAGGAGTCTAGGGACAAGACCACACAATCCACGGGAACTCCAAATTCGGCCGCAATGTTGACAAACGAGGATCGTTGTTTTGGGTCAAAATTGCACCGATCAATCACGGCCACTTGTCGATTGGTCAAGGCTGTACGAGCCAGTTCTTCGCATTTGAGTCGATTCCCCAATTCGTCTTGATTGATGCGCACAAATTTGTACGGCATTGCTGTTTGAAGGCTCGAAGCAAAGGTGCTCTTTCCGGATCCGGGAATTCCACACAAAAGCAGCACACTGGGCGCAAAGTCCGAATTTTGGTCGGTCGGAGGAATGTGCGAGATCCACGGAAGAACACCCATGGCTTTGTTGGCTTTGGCTTGGCGCTTCTTGTCCGTTTTTTGGGGAACCGTCTCCCAGCCATCGTCGTCCGCCATGATGTTGTTGCTGTTGGCGGCTTGCGATAGAAGGCTTGTCGAGTGTCGTCTGGAAAAGCAGCCAAGATTGTAGGAGAGGGCAGTTGGAGTGAAAGGAAAAGAGAAGATCAAGCCAAACAATAGCAACACGTTTGAGAGAGGAATAGAAATAGGGGAGCCTTGCATAGACAGACAACACCACAGCGATTACAACCACTGCGAAGTGGATGCCTCGATGCCCCAGCTGGTGCATGGTTGTTCTCTCATTCACCGAGAAACGTTTGTTGGGTTGGAGGCAGTGAGCGCCCTTATTTCAAAAATGACAATCAGACGTGCGTAAAATATCTTTGATCTACGTTGCAATGGACTATGTATGGTACCGGTACCGGTACTAGTATACATAGTCCTGCTAGTAGCCTGGTATGGGGACCCTATAATATCGATAGATACGGAGGCCAATTCAACCACAACCTACATGGAATCCTCGAGTGCATGGGACCAGGATTTGGATCGTATCGAAAAGGCGAACCGAATCTTGGCGGCGACCAAGAAGAAGAAACGAGTGACAGTCAAACGACCTGTTTCTGTGGCGACCAGGAAGAAGAAACGAGCCAAACGACCTGTTGCCTATGACAAACTTGCGTCTACTGAAAGCGACGATGGCAGTCTTTCTCCCGCTGTGGCAACAATTATGCTTCCTGGAATCAATGGTCAGATTGCGTAACCGAGCAAGGAGAATTGCCTCGTCCCTGAATCAAAATAATTCACAACGCTAAAACGTGATGGCATCTACTCCGTTGCTCATGGTGCTGTATTTTATACACGGCTCCCGTGAATGGCAATCAGATTGTACTACCGTACTATACTGGTACCGGTAGTACAAGATTTGGCCATTTCACACATGTGAGTACGCAGATGCACTACCAGTACTCGTACGACAAAATAATACAGAAAGAAAATTTTCATTGCCGTGAGATTCAGATTTTCCGGTGAACTCCGGATCCAGAATGCAGCCAGTTGTAGCAAATGGAGGCAACACAATCCCTGTTCTCAATCCTGGTCGAGGGCTTCCACTACATCACCGCCAACATGAATCTTCGTTTCTCAAATAGCTGCGTCTTGAATGTGCCCAATGCAGCTCACAAGCATCTTTCACTTGTTCTTCCGAACAAAATCACCACCCAGGTATGGGAATGCAGTGCTCTGGAGCGTCCTATACTCTACAATGGCTCGACATACTTTCCTGTTTCCTTTACAAAAGAGGAACTAGCTGAAGCGTACAAAAAGATCAATGCAACCAAAGGTTGGACTGTTGAGAACAGAGGCCAGCAGATGTCGTATGTTGGCGAGTTTGACAATGGCCGGTTCAAGGTGCGCATGGCACTGCATTGCAATCCCCACAGACCGGATCTCATCACGGCCTATCCGGTGTCACGAATCGACCGTCACCTACACACAGACTTCTTACAGTTAGACAAAGATGAATGCCTCGTTCACAGAAGCACACACCAATTCGTTGAAGGAGTAGCGCAGGATAACGAGAGTCCTTTGGAAGCCTTGAGAGAAATCGCAGACAGCTTCATCACGAGAGCACAATACAAGAAATCTTTCTCCTGTAAAGGCTGTGTTCTAAAACTATATCTGGGTCTAGATCATGATGATGATTGTCCAACGATCAAAACCAAAAGTCAATGGACCAGTCCTATCATATTGAAATGGAGAAATGAACGCTATTATGGCAGCTGGTGCTTCAACAAAATGGATCAGGGAACACCTTGGTACTTCGTCCTTGTTCCTAACAAGTCCATGGTATTGATTCTCCAATGCTGCGACTGGGGGCGCCGCGAAGTGCATTATTATATCCCTTGGGATGGGACCCAGGCAAGCAGGCTTCAAGATTTGGCTGGGGTTGCCAAGGTCTACTGTGCCAACCTGGACAAGAAGGTTCGAGTGTTGGAGCGATTCAGATTGGGGATTTGGTTCAGAGGAGCCGAACTTGGTACAAGACATTGGGCGAAGGAAAACGAAGAGGGTCTAGAGCTCATTGACTTTGGGAAAGGTCCGGTCGAGGCTTTCTTTATCCTGCATCCAGCACGTTTCGTCGGATACCGGTATAGACACAGGGGTCCCCGCCGGATTGGTTGCCACGAGGATTCGGATATGTTTGACGGGGACTTCGTGGTTCCTTACCATGCTACCCTGGAAGCTTCCATACGGACTTTGGCCGCAGAGGTGAAAGCGTACGATCAAATTCAGACGGGTATGCAAGCTGCTATGCAGAAAGTACTCAATGACGATCCAGTGGGCATAATTGATTAACGAGGACCAAACAAGCACCTCAGGCATTTCCATGCAATATTGGAGCAAATTTGCAGACTGATTTCCTGGTTCCCGCGCAAAGAAGTTGGTTTTAATCTGCATTCATGGTTCCCCATGTGTGGTCTCCATTGGGTGTCCATCCTTCGGGCCGTTCCTTCTCTACTTTGGCCAGATATGCATCCTCGTTGGTGCCCGAACACCACGTCCCTGTCAAGAGATCCACAGGCGTAAATGTCATTCCATAGTTGCAGGTCACCCTCGAATGGTGCAAATAATGAAAATAGGATCCAGCAAATTCTTCGTGTCCGTGATGGCCATAGACAGGGTTCACAAACGCCAACATGTTGGAATAATAGAATAGCAATGGATGGGCGGCCGTGATCAAGCAGGGGATAGACGGACCGGTGAATGTGATGGAACTTTCCATTGGAGTCATGGACAAACCGCTCCAGGGCCCCGTATTCCAGCTTCTGTGATGATGAGCATGAATCCATTTGTAGAAGGGTTCAATATGCATGGGATAATGGTACAAGAAGAAGTGAATATCCCGCCAAAATGGATAGGCCGTAAACATGAGAATTGTCTTTCCAGGATGATCCATGAAATTGTTGTAATAGGACACGCGACCCGATGCCCAGGCTTGCAGCAAGTAGCATTCCATGGCTGCGTTGATCAGGAACGACATGCAGGTGTACTTGCGATCTCGAATGTGTTGCGATTCCGGTGGCCAGCGTCTGTTGAATTTGGTAAACTGTCCCTTTTGGCGGACATACATCATCTGATGGACGCCTTCGTAAATCACAAATCCAATAGTGAATGTGCGGACAAAGACTGGTGTCATCCAGCTCCAGTGGAATTCGGCGCAGTCTTCAATATTGGGTGTCAAGAAGCGAAGCACAACCCATCCCATCGCGACCGTCATCAAATTGGCCTTGACGGCTGGCCAGTCGGGGCCGATAGATTCGCCACCACGTTTCATGCGGTTGCGTTCGTACCATTCACTCCAGGTCTCGCCCATGGTTGTTGGTCCTGTTGCTGAAGCTAAGAAGAGCTGTTCTGGCTGGGTGTTTTTTGTTGTGGGTTGTCTTCCTCATTCAATCGTTCGTTGCTGTCAATTGAGTTGGAAAGGGGTTCTCGAGCAGAAGATCTTTTGAGACGTGGATATCTTTTCGAAGACAGAACCCTCTTGGCCAATTGGGGGGTTGGCAAGTCGCACAGCTCGATACGGTACTCTCCGGTCATCAAAAGCAGAGCCAATGGAACCTCTAACTGCAAGCTCCGGTACCGTATGGCATACCGTACTGCACTCGACGAGCTAGTGCCTCCATGATACCCTGCAAAGGCGGGAGCAAGAAGGCACAACAGTTCGCATACGCAGCAAATTTGGCTCCGGGTACATTCACCGACTTGCGGCAATGACGATTTTCAGCGTAGTCTCCTGTCCATCGAATTGACCCTCTGTATGCCTGAACGAGGGGGGGCTGAACGGGGGGGGCAGGAGCTTGCATATAACAAGGGAGAAGACAAGCTTCGAAACGAAAGTACCGGTACCGGTACTAGTACCGTAGGCTCGATTCGATTCGTAGGCTTTGTCGCCTACCGGTACCTGGTATCGTGGTCGGGTTGTATCGGCGGCTGACAGCATGGATTCGATAGCAGCACTTCAAACGCCATCGAAGCCTGGGAGAAAGAAGGAAAATCCCTTTTTAATTAAATCACCAAACCCTTCGGAAGCTTTTGCTTTCGAAATGTCGTGAACTCAAACAAGCTCGAAACCTGGATTGTGATTCGAGCTCCGTGGTACTCGAAGTAATTGCCGAGGGGATGTCCCACTCTGGAGAAGACAGGGAACGTCAGGAGGGAGAAGCATTCGCTGATTGTTGTCAAGTTCTTTCTGGGTCCAGACTACACAATCGTTTTCATCGATTCATTATAGATCGCAGGAAACAGCAAACTGCAACTACGCGTCCCACCCAGGCCCCATCATTAAGGACGCGTACAAGTTGATCAGCTACATGAAAGACAAAGATGGGCGGTTTGAATCCGGAGTCCATGAATGCATCTATTCAGTGAAAACTACATGAAGGAGGTTTCTCAGTGTCGGCTCCGCGGAAGCAGCAAGAGTCCACACCCCAAGCCTCAGGGAGCCGTCGCCTCAAGCCGCAAAGCCCTTACAGTGGTATGGGACGCTCGAAAGAGAAGCGAGGCCCCGAGCCATTCCATCAGAAAACTCGGGTCATGAGAAGCAAGCTGAGTTGCCAATCGCGACAAAGATTAATTTGGTAAAAGTCATGAGGGCAGCAGCCCTCGCATTTATATTTGGGGCCCTGTCCGTCCCTAGCACCACTATCCCTACTAGTAAGACAAGATATCAGCCAGTCCCTGGAGCTATAGTGATGAGTCAAGTACGGCGACAACACAAGTCGACGGTTTTCTTGGTAGGGCTCAGCAGTCGCAATTATTTCCACAGCAGCCAACAAATTGGCACGGCCCGCTACGGTGTTTACCGGTATGGGGACAGGTAGTGGTAATAAACATGCGGCGGTGGCAGCTATGCAAATGATGGTTCCAACTTGCATCAGCATATCATGTAACCTGGAAGGACCAACAAAGGTCAAGACGACTATTACTACCGTACGAGGGAACCCTTGGCAAAAACACAAGAGCGACCTGCCGTGTTAGTTTGGACACCGTTTCTATGCAATTGTAGTAGCAGTTTCTAGTCGAACGTTACTACCGCAGTATGGAGCAATGCAGGAGACAGTGCTGGTGTTTTGTATAGATTGTTATGTACTCCAGTAGCCCAGTTGGCTCTTTCATAATAATCCTGATTAACGTCAATCTTGCTTCATCGCCTCAGGGGTCGCGACCAAGTATCCCCAATTCAATGATATTGAACTGAGAGGTGGACAGGACAAAGCGTTGAGGTTTTAAGTCCCAAAGGAAGCAAAGAAGTCATCCGAGCCCAGTGGCTTCCTTGCGGGTGACTGGTTGACTGAAGGAGGAGTGAATGCTCTTTGAGGTGTAGCAAATCCACCAGACGATGGAGCAGACCCGACAGCACGAGTGCTGGAAGGCTGAGAACCAAAGGACTGCTGCGAGCCAAAAGAATTCTGAGATCCAATTCCACGCGATGAAGCTGGCTTAGAGCCAGAACCAACACCACCCATCATCCCTCCGCTCCCAAACTTTGCAGCCATCCTCGCTTTGGCTTCATCACGAAGTCTGGTTTGCCGCGCAATGTACTGTTCATCTGATTCTCCAGTAAGGCGGCCTATACCATTTCGGTCCTCCCCAGGCAAACCTGGGGCCTCCGCCACAGGAGCTCCACCTCCACCGGGGACACCTACGCTGGGAGGGGCAGAGTGAGAACCCATGCCCATGGAACTAGAGCCAACACCACCCAATCCACCTGATCCAAATTTGGCCGCCATGCGAGCTTTAGCTTCTTCTTTCAGTCTGGTCTGACGGGCAATGTATTGCTGGTCTGTCTCTCCAGTCAATCGTCCAACACCATTGGGATCCTCTCCAGGAAAACCAGGTGCAGAACCCATGTTGGAACCTCCTCCTCCGCCATTGGCAGGGTGACTCATTGAATCGGAACC